GACTGATTTAAAAAATGCTAATAACTCAAAAAATTTTTGTCAGATTGGCTCAAACTTTCTACACAGCATAAGGACATCAATATGCATCAAAATTATAATAAAATTTAGAGAACCATTTTTGAAAAAAAACCATGGGCTTTGCTATTTTGTATAAAATTAGCTAAGTTTTTAAAATGCTCAAATGAAGATATTTCTCTCTCATTTTCCTACATATACCATAAGGTGACACAATATACATATGCTACTTGTGCAGAACTAACGCTAGCATTAATAGTGTGTGTACAATTTTTACCCTTTTTATTATGGCCTGCAAGGGTATAAGATGATTGTTAATCTACACATTGGAAATGATGATCACAAAATGTATACGAGTAGTTAAAGCAGAAGGTTATGCATAAAGTTAATTTTTCCTCCACTCTATACCAATTTACTTTTATCAAAATAATAATTAAATTGCAGCAAAAATAGTCACTAAAGCAGCAAAAGTAACAGAGTACTTATTCATAAAGTTCAATAAAATTAACTAGTTTCTTATCCCTACCAGCCCAACCTCTAACACTTGTATTCCCAACAGTGGAAGTTTGCAGGAGTTACTGAATGCTAATAAAGTATCAACCATTACATTAATAATAATAAATACAGTAATTATACTTACATATTCATATTCTGGAGACTGAATATAAGCTATGCGAAGACATGTCCCCCAGTTCTTCATACATGTCACATCCAATTCTTGACCATCACACTTTGTACATGAATCTCCTCCTTTTGGATGAGGTTCAATTGTAGGAGAATAATAATAAGCTTGACAGCTTGATAGCCTGCAACCTCCTGGACAATTATTATTTGGTTCTGGGAAAGGTGACCTAAATGAACAAATTGTTGTTAATTGCTATTGTTGACTTAATTGTTATTATTAATAATTATAGAAATAATGATAATAGTCTATACAAGAAACAATACTCACATTGAACAAACATTAAATCTATGTAAAAGACAAAACTGAGCTGTACAAGTTGGAGGACATTCTACAAAAAAATTAACTAATAAAAAAACAATCATTCAATGATATTTTACCTCCACATTTATTTTCACAATCATATTGATAGTGGAAACTATTTTTATTTTGATTACATCCTCCATATGTAAATATTTCACATTGCTTGCTTGTTTTATTGTAAAAATATCTCTGGAATTTACCATTACAAGGCCCAGCATAAGGAGGAAGGTGACAATCTACAATAAGAAGTAATCAAGTGATGAATCTGTAAATTATGTACAATATTGACCTGTTAAGCATCTAATGTTAGTCGAATTCTCAGTGCAATTAGTGCATGATAATTGTCCTCTTGATTCCTGATAAGTTCCTTTATCACATGACTGGCATGGCTCAAAACCAGTTGATGAATATTGATCTTCTTTACATTGATCTAGTAATTATA